CACATTATTGTGATTATATAGGGTAGGATCGTTGATGAATACGGATTTTCCTCTGCCTCAAGCGAGAATCTAAGCCTTTCCTCCTCCTCCTCCTCCTCCTCTTCCTTTTTAAAAATAATTTTTTTAATTTTAGAGATGAAGGGGGAGGGGCTGCCCAGATACAGAGGGAGGGAGGGAGAGAGAGAGAGAGAGAAATTATGAGCATGCCTCCTGCACGCCCCACACTGGGGATCGGGCCCGAAACCTGGGCATGTGCCCTGACTGGGAATCGAACCGTGACCTCCTGGCTCATAGGTCGACACTCAACCACTGAGCCATGCCAGCCAGGCTCTTCCTTTTTTTTTTTTTTTAATACTGGTTATGTAAACAACAAATGTTTCCATAGCCCCCCTAATTTCCAGCTCTAGAATTAACTTCTGAACAAGCTACGGTTGTCCGCATGGAAACTTAGCATAATTGTCATTGGGAAATCCCACTTGCTTAGCATAAAAAATTCTAGTTAAAATAACTATTAAGTAAAATGCACTTTTGGGTACAGTGCAGAAATATGAAAACTGTTCAGGCAAGACTACTTAAGATAGCAAAAGCATGGACTTTGCGACTTCCTCTAGATGTTCCAAATTGTAACAGAGTCCCTCAGTGTTAATCCTTCACAGAAGCAGGTGCTGAGCATTTGCGCAAAGGATGTGCCATCTTTCTGCAGTTCGCTCCTAACAGCTTTCTCATAAACGTGAAAGCAGCTCTCAGCTTTCTAGTCGCCTGGTAGCTTTACCGCTATATTGCTCTTCCCCCTACCCCCAAAGTGGATTCCAGGTTAAGGGGGAGGGCATCTCAGGAGACTGACAGTCCGTCTTCCTGGGAGAATGTGGGTCCTTCTATCGAAGGACAGGTCAGGTGGCACCCAGAGTTGGGTAATGAGTGCCAGACAGAAAGCTGGGTCCCACAGTGGGGATGGAGGAAGGAAGGACCTTCCCTGTTGGCTGTCTTGGGACAGTGTGGAGAGGTGGGCACCAAGATCCAGTCTTGAGCTCCCTTCTAGACTAGGAACCCAAAGTGGGGCACTGCCCACATACAGAGCTCATTGTTTCCTGGCTGATTGTGTGTGTGTGTGCACGCGGCCCATAGTTTTTATTTATCTCCACCTTAGTTTCTGTTTGTACGTGGTCTTTCACTTCATTCTCACAACAGTTCTGTGTGGTGGGAATGTTAGGGGTTATTGTTTACCATAATTTAGAATGGAAAATGGATTCAGACAGATATGTGAGTTGAATTGTGGGCCAAGTCTTCTGACTGCAAGCCTAGTTCTCATTGCTGGGATTTCATAGACCTTGAGCGAACCTTTGGACAGCCCTTTTGGTTCTTGGGAGAGTCAGGTCTTTATATATCCAAACTATCCCCTCCCTTCCTTCCTTCCTTTTCTTTTCTCTTCTTCCTGCTTTTTCTTTTTTTTTTTTTTAATATATTTTATTGATTTTTTACAGAGAGGAAGGGAGAGAGATAGAGAGTTAGAAACATCGATGAGAGAGAAACATCGATCAGCTGCCTCCTGCACATCTCCTACTGGGGATATGCGCAACCAAGA